ACGATTGTCCTGTTGTCTCGCTCTATCTTTCCATTTTGTTCTGGTGTGTATGCTACAGAATTCTGATGTTTGATGCCTTTTTCCTTCAGCAGTTGGTTCATCTGTGTGTTGATGAACTCCAGGCCTTGATCAGTTCGTAGTGTGTTGATGGATTTTCCTGTTTCTTTTTCTACTCTTAGCAGTGTGTACTTCAGGCAGTCAAAGGTTTCGCTTTTGTTTTTCAAAAAATGAACGTGCCTGAAGCGTGAGTAATCATCTTTGATTAAGAGGTAGTAGGAGGCTCCACCGAGAGGCTTTGTTTCCATGGGACCACAAAGATCTGCATGTAGAAGTTCTCCAATGGCTGTTGACTTGGTATTGCTCGATGGATGTGGTTTTCTGCTCATTTTCCCCAAGGTGCATTCCTCGTAGGTGGTGAAAGATCCAGTGGATTTGATTTGGTGGGTGTTCAACACCTTTTGTACGTGGGTAATGTGTTGATGAGCCAGACGTTTGTGCCAATCCATCAGTGAGGCCACTAATGCTGTTCCTGTGGAGTGGGATTGGTTTGTTGTAGTGGGGTTGATTTTGAGTCTCATTTTGAAAAGACCATGACCGTTTGGTCGATCCCCAATTAATCGTATATTTCCTATGGAGTGAAAATTGTTGTGAGGGAATCGCTCATAGCGCGCCTAGTGACGGGTTAAAACAGACAATTGGATTTGTTATTTTTAGTGATTTCTTCAATTTCAATCAACTTTTTTCAGAATTGAACATTTGATTTTGGAATTTTGATTCTTGACTATCTCTGAATCTATTCTCGATTTTTTTAATAGTTGACAGTTGAATTTTTTATTCTCTATTGTCTTTCAATCGCCTCAATTTTTTTGAAAATTAAGAGTTGGATTTTTGATTCTCAATTGTCTCACAATCTACTCTCACCTTTTTTGGGAATTGAAAGTTGAATTTTTTTATTCATGAAAATAGGATTTTTTATTCTTAATTCTCTCTCAATCTACTTGAAAATTTTTGTGAAAGTTGAGTTAGATTTTTTGCTTCCAAATGGAAGCCCTGATGTATTCGTCAAATCTGAAATTTTNAAATCACAAGTGCGAAGCACGAGTGATTTTTGCTGAAAAACTTGACGACTTCGTTTATATGCAGGGAACCTTGAGGAAAATGCCCGATTAATTTTGAAGCTCGTGTGGTATTCGGGGGATTATTTTTCCAATGCAAATGTCGGGCAATATAATTGGACCATGAGACGAAACTCACAATTGAGAAACGAAAATTGTATAACTAACACAAAAGCATTCAATGTGTGTGTCAGCACTCAATGTGTAGTTTCTCTCATCACAAAAACTGGTAAATTGATTCCAAATTGTCTTCTGCGTTTTCTCCGTATTGACGGGAATATTTCCCTTTACTTTTTCATCAATGGTTTTTAGGGAATGAACTCCGAATCTACTGATTTCGAATAAAAATCCTCGGATTATTACAATTGAATTCAATCTGTCAGCTTGACGAGGGGTTAATTCGACTGCATAATGTTTTGTTTTTTATATAGCAACTACCAGACAAAATTATCA